CATAATTCTCAGATCCACGGCCATGATTAATTAGACCATGCATTCCATTTGCTCTTGCTGTTCCCAGAAAGAAACAATGGTTTCTTTTCTTTTCTTTTTTTATGGTCCAACTAATCAAACAATGGTTGCTTTGCTTTATCTTTACTTCATGCGGAAACACCAAAGGACTTTGAAAGATACCTATAAGACGTCCGGACAATCTACAGAGGAAAAAATGAAAACACTATTTGCTTTGTATTCCTTATATTCTACGATGTGAATTATCAATACCCCACCACACCCTCCTTCTTGTGAGCACTCTCTCTCGTGCATGATTATGATAAGTGCTTAATTTATATATTCCCTCGATCTGACTCCAAACTCGGGAGAATTGAGAAAGCTTTTGTGATTGGATGATATATGGGTATAATATTGTTACACAACTCATCATGTATAAATTCGTGTTTTGTACTTTTTAGTTTCAAAATATGTAATATATGTTGTAAAAAAGTGTTCATACGAATTAAATCAAACAAACGCACTAATCTGGATTTATGAGGTAATAGACATCCTTTTGAATCTCTCCCGACGGGCTAGTAAGGCTTTTCAATTGGTTTTTACTCACTAGGTTATAATATCAAACGAGGAGAATTATTTTGTGACGTGTTTAGTATGAATTTTAGGATATTGTATAAGCTAAATAACCCTAATGGGTTTACACTGATCAGCACAAGTCCATTAAAAATCCTTATGCATCTATATTTTCCTTAATACAATCAGTTTAGTCCTTAATACATTTTCCCACTAAACCATATAGAAACACAAGATATGTGTACTTCTTTTTCAATTTCCAAGCAATTTATGATATTGCTCCCAACAAATACAGGATAGGTTTTGTTTTCTTTTTCTTCTTAATCTATCATATGTGAGGATGTGAAGGTAAAAGAGACTCTTATATCGGTGAAAGAATAAACCTTGCATAGGCTTATAAGTGTTTGACTACTTCCTATTTTGCCAATTAATTTTATGATAAAACCCCAACTTTCTTCAAGATGTATCTAGATTAATGATAAGTACATTTGTGCATATAGTTTGTGTTTTGTTGTGCATGCAAAAAATATTATTATTATATATATGTGTGTGTGTGTGTGTGTGTGTGTAAAGGCCATTGAATTACCACTGTCGTTGGTCTATTTTAGGAATCCAAATCCTGATCTTCTCTGTGAGAATCCTGGAGATCTGTCAATCATGTTCGTTCATCGTACATCGTGAGTCATAAATTATTTTAAATATTTTTATTTAAAATTAAACACAAACAATATTTAATAAAAGCTGACCGCATGATATACGATAAACAGACACAATTTACGGATCTTCAAAATCCTCACCAAAAGATCCGGTCCTGTTGGCTATTTTAGTACCAAATTCAGCAACAAAATACATAATTAAAGGCAGACGCTTTATCCAGATCCATCGTAACAAACAGCAAAAATTGTTGTCATCTAAAAGCTTTAATCAATCTGTCGACCGCCCCCGTACGTCTTTCACCAACCTGTCCTACACTGAATACCTTTGCTTCATCATTGTTATTATTTCCAATTCTAACAAGAAAAAAGTGTATTCGCCTGCCTCCAATCAAATCCTTTCTTCTCAAGGCTTTGATTTCATCTCATCTAAGTGGCTAAAAAGCCCTTTCACTTTTCTAAAGTGTATATATAATAGATTATCTGTATGGGGATTTTGGATTTTGTTAATATGTATTGTTTACTTTACATGGTTACTATATATATATGTCTAATTAATGCTGTTTAATTTGCTTGGTTTGGTGTACCAAATTTTGAACTTCTCTTTGTTCTCTTGGTTTAATTTACATGAGTACTATATATTTATGTCTAATTGTGGCCAAGTGCTGCTCTTTTATCTTGCAATTAACAATACTATTTCCATGTTTCATTCATAAAAAGAAATGGGAGAAATAGGGGCATCAATCCATATCGACTCCATATGGACGTTTAGATGAGTGATAATCGCAATTACGTGGTGTGGAACTCATGATCGATAAGTTACATTACTCAGTTAGACATGAAATCAAAACCACAATAAGAATTAAAGTCAGTAGTAAGCTCAAGTAAAGGCAGCTGTGAACATCAACAACGAAAATTTTACAATGCACCTACAGTTGTAGTAGATGCATTGGTGCAGTTAACGGTCAAATTTGCATACTTTAATTAAACATTAATTCCAGTCTAGTCGTCCACTCTGGTACATCTGCAGTGTTATATGCAGAAGGACTCCATCAAACAATTATATAGATTCATGATTGCTAGAAAATGGGCCAAGTATTTTGTTATACCACATAGGGCCATGTAGAACAATCCTTGGTGGGAAAATACGAATTTTCGTAGGGATGACTTTACAGTATAAAATCAGAGAAATTTTTCATTCTGACCGGAACACGGGGTACACCACGTGTTTTTATATAAGTCATGGGAAATGTTATTTTTTAAGTTATTAACTTTTTAACACACATATCTCACCATTTGTATAGTGACACATGGTGTACCACTTCTGATGAAATTGAGGTTCCACCATAAAACCAATTGGCAATATGAGGAGTAGCCCAAGACTATATAAGCATATAGCAAACTTTGTCCCTCACTGATGTGGGACAACTCTCAACACTCCCCCGCACGTAGGGCGGATTTTCAAGCCTATACGTGGACAACAACTGGGTGCTGTGGAGCACGTGTGGCCGTTAGGCTTCACACGTGGACAACCTTGCTTTGATACCATGATGAAAGTTGGGTTTCCACTATAAAACCAATTAGCAATATGAGAAGTAGCCCAAGATCATATAAGCACATAGTAAATCTTGTCTCTCACCGATATGGGACAATTCTCAACATCGTGTACTGGTCACATTGAAAAATTTCTCCTAAAACCCTAGTTACATGTAACATGCATGCATGCATCTAATGCATGCAAAATTGCTATTGAACTGTCATTATTTGTGGACCGTAACTTTTACCTGATTAACGTTTGCCATACTGTTCGAAATGACATAAAGATATTTGTCCTCATGCATTTGGAAGAGCACCTCCATGCATGGCTCCATCTCCATGGCCCAGTTTAACCCTACACGTGGCAGATGATTATGATACCTCAAGAACTTTCGCATTCATAAGTTCCCTACACAAGGGCCGCCGCTCAGGAGTCAGGAAACAGCGGCTGCAACAAATACCACTTTCTGTAGAAACAGCGGTTTCAGCTCGGATTCAATTTCTACACAAAACAAAACATGGCCATATTTAGATGCAGAAAATGCATACGAACAAAACTAATAATTCATGTTATACCATAGACTGCAAGCTGTTAGTTTCCATTATTCTTTTCAAATCTTTGTCTAAATTAATAGTACACACTGAGTATATATTAACATGATTGAAGGGAATAAAACTGGTTCAGCTAGGTCTCCATACATGTGAAGATGATGGACGTTGACATATGAATAACACTTCCGGTACTGGAGCAGAATTTACAGAAAAGCAAAGTATACACAGATGTTGACTTATTTAAGCTTTTCCCTTTCAAGTTTGTGACCCCATCGAAAAAGAGTTTGAAATATCAAACAAGAAATTCCGGATACCACCAAGGCAACAACCAGATTATCTAAATTTTGTTCCCTTAAATTAAATTTCTCCAGTGTTGACTGCTTCTGTTCTTTTCTAAGAATTACTTTGTGTTAATTTGAAAGTAACACAAGCGAAGCCACTTGTATTGGAACTGGAATTGTTGCTGAGATTCTAGTTGTGATTGAGGTCATTTTCAATCAGCTTGCTCTACATATGGATGTCATAAGGTTTCTCAGAGTTCCTTGGGCAAATGGTTTACAATATATATCTTGCTTGCGTTTGCATTTTTCGCACATTTTCAGGGGTTACTAAATGTTCTCATATAGTTACCTACTCTGTGCATGGATCACTAAAATGAATGTGACGAACTTATAATTACAACAATGACCAAAATTGCTATGTTTATTGGCACGCTAATGATTATTTAAACTAGTAGACAAAGCTTTAATTACCCGATGTGGACGATTTGTTAAAGTCGACATCCATTTTGTCCTTCAACTATATTCGATCTTGTGAGTGATCTAATTCAGTCTTAAACACAAAACAATGTCCTATGGGATATGATTTTTTTGGCTTAAAAGTAACAGTATATGATATTATGGCTCACAAATGTTTTCTTTACTAGATTTATTAAAAAATAATGTGTTTGCGTACATGTTAGAATCTTAATAATTAAACCTAAATGAAATCCAAAACCAACACTAACACATAATCCGGTGAATTACAAAACTTAATATTACTCTCTGCAGCAGCACCAGTCGAAAAGTTAATGAGGATTGCTGATAGGGTTTAGTATAATTTCCAACCATTCATCATGGTTAGGGTCGATTTGTTATAATAGCTACTTTGAATAACCGAAACAAAATCCAGACAACATAATATTAGGCCTAGACACAGAGAGCCTAGAGAGAACATTTGGTGACATCCATGCCCATTATTCCTCATCCTCACCCTGCACTGCTAACTTGTTGGCCGCAACCCGAAGTTGACATTGCCATTATTTCTTTTTGGTTTCTTTGAAAATTTGAATGACCACTCGTAAAATTTTCAAAGCAAAATCGAAATTTGATTGCAAAAATTGAATAGACCCTGTTTCCCATATGGGGTTCCTTTTTTCTTTTCCTTTTTTTTTGAGCCTGCCAAATGATCATGATGGCAACTTTTTTGACCAGTTAGATACTTTTTCATTTCAAAGAAACAATCTACCTTCTTAATCTCCATTAGAGTATGTATGAACAAATTAATCCCTTCTTGTCTCAGTATAATGGGTATTATCAAGGGTGGTGCTATTCACACCATTTTTTTTACTTCCCATATATTCTTGTTAAATTTGTCCATTAATCTTTTTCAATTTATTTGATTTGACGATCGGAAATTAAGAGGTATGTGAGAGGTAAAAATGAACATATGGATAACATTATCCTGTTAGCAATATGCCAATAATATTGTTGTTCTGGGGACCTCATAAGATTTTAGGGTTTGAAAGACACACACTGTGACCCGTCCATACTAGCTGGAAAGACCATCTGTTTGTTTATGATTGGCCAAGTACTCCCATAGCTTTGATGACATGATTGCACTTTTCACAAAAATATCAATGTCCTTCTCTTCATGGATCATTGGCACCACTGGCTCAACATAGCTAACATTTTTAAGAAGGTAATGCAACCATTTTGTACGCATAAGGCCTAAACCAAAGATTGCATTGTTAAAAATACGCCTTTCCGATCGTATACATCGAACACGAACTCGAAGGGTTCTGATACTTTGATTTTCACTCTCACGTACGAAGAACCGAGTAGGAGGTGTGTTACGATCAGTCGTCTAAGCACTAGCTAGCAAGGTCCCCCAACTGATGCCAGCAAAATCCTCCAAATATCTCTTTAGTTTTATTGTGCGTACGTACAACCAGATTACAGGCTTAGAGTGTCAAAGATGACCTTCCTTGGAATCCACATAAACTCGTCTGGCCTGCCGAAGCATAATCCGGGCATCAGAGATTTTTGTCTTATCCTTTTATTTTTCTTGTCTTAAAACTCTGCAATGAAAGCCCAAAGGAAAGTGGCAGCGAAGTAATCAGGCCCAAAGAGACAGGATAAACACCCCACAAATCTTTATCAAAGCTTCTGAGCCCCAGAAACAGTTTAAACATAACTTAGATGATTAGAAACGGATGATATATATATATATATATATATGTATATGTATATATATTAACACGAATAGAATGTTTACATCCCAAATTGGCTTATCAAGTTTTCTTCAAATCAAATACACATGTTTTCTGCTTACATATATATGCAATCAAATGCGAAATTGAATCGCAAGTATGCATGCAGAACCAATTAAAACCGTTTGATACTACGATATACTGGTATTTTTTTTCACTTGTGAATGACAGATCTTAGGTACGAATTTACTTGTGGAATGCGGAATGTCCCATTCATGTGACAAGGAAATGAAGAATTTAATTGAAATAATGGAAGATAGGGTTTTACTTTTTGGGGAGATATTGGACTTCATATACAAATCTTGGTGGTCGATAACCTTGAATTAATCAAAGTGTGGCTCTACCATATGGCCTTTGGGGATTAATTTAATTAAAAGTCAATTTCTTGTTCACAAAATTATAACTTTTTAATATTCCTACATCTCTCCTGGACGAAAATAAAGGATTTTACGTCAACGAATTTCTAGATTATGTGATGATTAAATCTTGAAAGTTTGGGTTTATCTGCAGCCACATAGCACATATAATGAATGGTGGAGTCAAATTAATTACATAAATTAATCACATAATTAGGGTTTGATAATCAGTTACAGTCCTACTAGTCCACGTCGTAGCTAAAAACTAAAGCTTCAACTCCGACTTCATGAGCATAGAGTCAAATTTATTCAGTATGGTTTGGTAATCAAGTTTTTTCTAGAAGGGTATCAAATTATCAAACAAATTTTACAAACGCAATGTATAAGGACTGTTTGGAAGTGTTTTTAAAAAGACTGAAAGTGCTTTTAAAGAAATTGGGTTCCAAAGGCACTTGAAGTGCTTTATGGAAGAAGCAACGGTTATGCGCTTATTCCAAGCAGTATTTCAAATGCTTTTTTTAAGATTCATTTGTGTTTTTACTAAGGATTGGTTTCAAAAACATTTCATCAAAAGCGTTATCAGTCATTTTAAAAACACTTCCAAACGAGCCTTAAATCACACATGATACTGACACTCTCAATTTTACTAAACGTTTGCTTCTCATTGATATCCAAATCTATGGAGATTTAAAAAAGTTGGGAAAACTTAATATGAGTCCAATTTTATGAGCCATTATTAGTTATAGTCCAATTTTGTTTAATTTTTTGGTTAGATCCAATGATTCATTGTCCACATAAGCTTATTTGTATTCACCAAATTTACCCTTAAATTGACCAATTAAGTAATTACTGTTTTTTAAGTTTGTGATTAATGTCAATCTTATCCTTAATTATAGGATTAGGGATTTAAATCTCCTTTTTTTCTTCTCCTTCCCCAAACCGTTCATTTCTCTTTTCTTGTTTCTCCCTCACAATATTTTTCTCTTCCTACATTATTTTGCCTAGTAATATTCTTCTTCTCCTCCTCCTTCCATAAGGATGATCAATATACATTTGATTGGTTATTAAAATAATAATAATAATAATAATTGTATTAGTCAATTTTGTATTTTGGGTTCTTCGTCTCATGTTTTTTTTTTTTTTTTTTTTTTTTTTTTTTTTTTTTTAATGCTTCATTCTCCTTTTTATATTTTTTAACTTTGAAGTTCCATTGAATTAGTATTTTCTCTAGTGTTTCCTCCCTCAATATCATTTTTCTTCACGATTTTTTTTGTTTTTATGACACACCTTGATCCGGAACGTCCATCTAGATTCTGAATCGAGCTATGCTGGCTGACACCTGGAGGGTGAAGAAACCATGATGTGAAAATGTGAATAAATTTAAAACCTAAAAATGCCTAAATACAAGAGTGCGTCGGTGAGCAGGAATGAACCCATTTTACACGTGACATTAGAGCATAAGTAAAGTACAGTAGAGTGAATTTAGAATTATACCCTCGGAGATAAAACACTTATACTAAGATTTGTCATGAGTTCTTGTCGATACAAAAGGTCAGCTACTAAAACATGGAGGGGCGAAAAACAGAAGGGTGAGTGGGCACAAAAATAAAAGTTTATAAAAACCATTTGCTTTATGAACATACTAACCCCTCACCGTAAAACACGTAGAGTTTCCAAAAAATCATACTATGTATAAGTATGAAATCAAATACATGCCGACAATTGAATCAGAAGTATGCCACAACATAGTAATTCAACATCAATGTAAATATAATCATGTGCTCAACAGTCAATACTAGCACATAAGTCGAAGTCACCTAATGTGATATGTACGACTGCACCTATTACTCATCAATCTATGCTAGCACACGAGTCAAAGTCACCTAATGTGACCTATACGACAGGGTTAGGTGTAATAATATATGCTCTAGTGCTACAATCACATGATGGCTAGCACTAATCATTGTCACATATGAGTCAAAATTGCCTATTGCAATTTGTACGACAGGGCTAGCACCTACTTGGATCCAAGGCAAGTGTGCAGTGCTGATGTGAATGACACGTGAAAGACTAACCTGGCCTAGGCTGAGCACTAACACCTGGGTGTGGCAATGATGAGCCACTATATGAATATGAGCATGCCATAACTCAGTCATTCCAAACAACACAATAAACTCACCGAAACTTACCTGCGTGTCTCATAGAATTACTTTAGCATTTCACAACACTATAATATTTATGAGCTGGTAAAATGCACATGAATATGCCATGACAATATAAATCTCAGCCACATAATAGCATTTTTTAAATTAAGTAAATTGTGGCATAATATCCGTAAACCAAATTAAAAGTATTTGTGGAAACCATACAATATACATATATATATATATATGAAAACAAAAATACCCACTCACAGATCATGTTGTCGAGTCGAACCCGTCTCGTACAATCGAGAATCTTTGCAATGCGTTTCACCTAGAAACAAAACCATTAACATAAATATGTAATGTACTAACGTACTCATGTGGTTTCGTACAAATTATGGCTAATAAATGAACTATTTTAAAATGGTCAAATTTCAGAAAATGAAGAACGGATTCGGGTTCGGCTCATTGAGAAGCCCAAGGAGAAACTTCGGGTTCCTCCACGGGCCAACGCACGCGCCTCCACGCGCGCCCACGCACCTTCCTCAAGAAATCTACAGAATTTCCAGATTTCAGGGCTGACTTCCAAAGCTCATTTGGAGCTCGATCTCCAACCAAATTCAATGATTCAAAAGCCATGTTGAAGTTAAAAATGTCGGGAACAAATACTAAAGTAGGGCCGAGTTAAAGTCGGTGGTGGCAGGAAAAATAGCCTGAAAGTGACTAAATGACCACCGTCTAAGTTTTCCAGAATCTAAGATATTTTATCCCAACTTTGAAGGCTAATTTCTAGTTCAATACCTATTTTTAGTGATACAAAAACAAAAATGAAGCTAGAAATGCAGTGAACAGGGCTATACCAGTTTCGAGGGCCAAACGTCACCGAGATGGCCGGAAAAATCCTGTGAAATGGGCTAAATGGTCACGGGTCCAAGCTTCCAAAATTTCTGGGGAATCTCCCCCGAGGTTCATCTGCACCAACCTTCCCCCAAATCTCATTTCAAAGTTGAACAACAATATAAAACTTAAAAATAACAAGGATTTGAGAGTTCGAGGCTCACCATGGTAGGTTAAATGGGTGAACAATGATGGTTCTCACTGAATGGGAAGTAGACCACAAGTTAGGGTGTCCTGAGCAAAACAGCAGGAGGGAGGAGATGGTGGTCCACTCGTGTGGTGCGATGGTTTGGGTTTCGTCCTATCTTCTCCGTGGTTCACAGAGAGAAGAGAGTTTGAGATAGAGAGCTACGAGAGAGGAGAGAGCTCGAGTTTGAATATAAGACAGAAAAATAATAATAATGGGAGAGAGAGAGACATCCGGGAGACCAGTAAGGAGGGGACACGGGGACACAGAGGTGAGGAGACCCACGTGAGTGGGTCCCACGGGCAGATATCCCATCAGAAAAAATAATAATAAAATAATAACGGTGAATTTGAAATGATCGTAGTTTCGTGAAATCTTCATTGTAGTTTAGATTTCAATTTTGCTTGCGTACATGCATTTGTAGCAACGAGTACTACGACGATATGCTAAGAGGATGGTTCATAAGTGTTACGATATGATGGTCAACGAATATCAAAAACCTCGCTTCTAGTGGTATTTTCGTCATTTCACTCATTCAAAATTTATAAAATCATAAAATTAGGGACGGATTGTCAAAATCTATCTATATCACTTGTCTTTTATTTTATTTTATTTTTTATCTTTTTATATTATACTCTGCCTGTATCATGAATAATTGTATTTATCAATCTATATATATTACATATTTTGTTAATAATCTATCTAAGATAAATTGTATTTATCTACCTATATATCACAAATGAGTTGTGTTGTCTACCTATACAATATGTTTTGTTTGTAGTATATCTGTATCACAGATTATTTTGTATTATCTATCTATACAATAGGTTTTTGTTCATAGTCTATTACTATCATAGATTCTACATACATCACAAATTTTTTATTTTATTTTTTATCTACATTTGGCAATGTTTCCTTTAATTTTTGATAAACTTATAAGATTTGTAATAATGTATTTTTAATTAGAAAACGGGTAGATAAATGTATTTGAAGATTCAAATTTTAAAAATTCAAATTTAAAGAATTAAAAAAAAAATATTTTCAAGGGGCAAAACAAGTGTGATAGAAAATCAAATAAAATTAGACCCAATTCAAAAACAACTGGATTTGTTGGACCTAGATCGAAGTGCCCCTTTAAACTTCAATCTTTGCTTTAAATTATTTGTTTAATTTGTATTCTCTATATCTGATATCTTATAGAAATGTATTCAAACATGGTACGTGTTCTTAGTTTTTATTTGGATTTGAATATGTATTTTTCTAAATATTTTTTTCATGTTGGATATTATAAATTTGCCCATCATTGTCTTCTAATTTCTTAAGGAAGAATGTGAACTTGTGTCCGTTTCTAACATTGAGAATGCGGAAGTATTGTCAAAGATATGCATGCATGAGATTAGGCTAAATCGTTCAATTGGTCAACTATATTAGATATTGTTAATACTGGGCACTTTTAGGCTTGGATGAAGGTGTCGGCCCGAAAAGGAGGTATGATGAGCCCAAGACAAGGTCACGACAAAAGAGGCCCAAGGGGCCTAGAAAAGGACACGTCCGTTTGGTAAGTATCGACCGACCAGGGTATACGGGGGGTTTGCCGATTGCTAAAAAGTACGTGGGCAGATTGACAGCTTTGTGACACAAGTGTTCAAGGAAAGGTTTACTCAAACGTCAACCAAGCCACTTAGTAACTCCAAGTCGGCAGCAGGGACCCAATCAAGCCACTCAGTCCGCTTTACACTGGGATTGCATGCTATCTCGACAGGACACCCATCACTTCACCACTAAATCTTTGGTTTGTAAGTGAAAGGGTGTCAGTAGGCTAGTCAATGTATGTAGCACATTGAATGCTACGTGGGAAAGGCCTAAGGTTGAAGCGTTCACTGAGGGCCTATATAAAGGGGTGAAACCTCCAATAAGGAGGTCGGACAAACAACGAGAGAAAAATTCATGTATTAACCGAGTACTATCTTTAGTCTTGCAATTAATAGAATTCATGCAATACAGTGGATGTAGCTCAGTTTTGAGGAGTGAACCACTTAAATTTTGTATCCATTTTATTACAATTCACGTCCAAAGGCCACAAAGGGTTTAATACTCTTGTTTATTAACCTACAAATATTGAGCATTATCATGTATTAATTACGTCACTAATGAGAATCGAACTTGAGACATCATTATCATAAGTGGAGAGGAATAATACTAGAGCACAATGATAGTTTGCAAATGGTTAAGAATATTTACACCTAAATCGAAGGTTCTAAGTTATCCTCTAACGGTTGAAGTTATTATAACTTTTAAAGTGACCCCCTGTTTGTAGCCATTGAATCAAATTTTAACGGCATGAATTCATTGATTTGGTGGATTAGGAGGAAGAGATCCGAAAAAGGATCCCTTTCCAAATGCAATGTTACTTCGACCCAAACAAAAATGATGCAAAGCCAATGCCCCTTTGAATTATAACAAAAAGAAAAATGGAACCTTACATGAACGTTAAGTTCAAAGTCCACACCTTCCCTTCCCCTTCGTAGTTCCCTTCGGACCACGCTACTTTTCAGTGGTTGCCCAACCAATTTGATTTGGGTTGACCATCTTGCATGCTAAATTTTTTTTTTTTTTTTTAGTACATTGATATTTGTATATTAAGAGGAGGGAAAGTTCAACTAAACCACATAATGAGCAGTCTAATTTAGCATCGAATTTGTTATTCACGAGATTCGAACTTAAGATCTCTCACTTCTAAATGAAGAAAAATATCATTGTACTGTAATACTGAGTGACATCTTGCATGCTAATTAAAGATGTAGAATTTAGATTCTTCTGGAAGCTTGTATGGTACTTCTTAGTTCTTACATTCCAACTCTTCTTTGCAGTACTTTCTGACAGCCGTTCGATTCGATTTCCTTGATCGTCGTATGATGTTGACCCATATTTCTCGCGAGCATGCTTTCGGCTGCTGAGAACAAAGTTGCTCAACTTCTTGTGATTTGTTTGACCCATTCTGGTCAAACCTTTACCCAATTATTATTATTTTTGAATACATACCTTTACCCAATTTAGTTAGTCTTAGTCTCCAATTTAGCAAAATGAACTCTTTGAATTTACAGAACAACTAATCAGCTATATATTAAAAAATAAAATAAAATTCAAAGGTGAACCCTTGAGCAAGGAGAAAACGAAACGGGGGAAGATTGATTCAGAAATGAGCGGGTTGATTTTGAATTCTTAGTAATAAAATATTCAAAGTTTGTTAAAATGGAAAGTGTTGTTAACATTAAAAGTTAAACTAAATAGCTAAAATAATTTTTTATACTATTCAAGAGCTAGTTTAACAAAATTTAGATTTTCTTTTGGAGATACTCTAAACATTACATGGTAAACCTTCTTTTTCCGTTCGTTTATTGTAACTTTGGGAAAAGATGGGCAGCTAGGTTTTGTAATAAATATAACCCATTTATAAGTGATGAGTTGTTCTGTTTGATAAAGTCTTTCTTTACTGACTACGTCTTGCATTCAAACTCTTTCATCTCCCGTTAGAATATTATCTTTAATAATTAAAAAAAAAAACTAAATACATTTTGAGCTTTTTCTAAAACACATTATTAATTGAGAATGACTTTTCATTTCATATTGGCTAGGTCAAATTAGTTGAATTAAAAACTTTGGCAATAAAAGAATTTTGTAGATATTATAGAAAAATGAAAATCCTAGTTTATAACGATAAAGAATTTTTTTTATTTTTAATTCTGGTCAAATTAGGGATAATTATATAGAACAAATTTGGAGGTGCAATCTCGTGTATTCTTGTCCTAGATAAGATATATCAACTAGATCTAAATCTAGATACTTCTCTTTCGGGTTTCAAAGATGATCAAATTCAAAACCTTCATTTTATTAAATGATGAAACGATAAGGAAAAAGACAAGAAAAAAGTAGTGAATCTTCGCTTTTTATCCATGTGCACTCCTCTCTTATTATAAATTTTTTTTCTTTTTTCTTTTAAATTTGATCGTGTCAAAAAACATAATGAATGAAATATTGCTAGAAAAAAGAAGCAAAAATCATTTTCCCTTAAAAAAACTCTATCCGTGTTGGAGGAGTCATCAAATCCATTAAATAATCTGAAATGGGAAACAATCCACCATTTGGATTCTGATTTAATTAAACCATTTAAAAAATAAAAACTAATGAAAATGATTTGAAATTTTTAAGTTTTAACGATAAAGACAATGAATAATATCAAGATTGATTTTTTAATGTGAAAATGTAATTTTTCGAAAAAATAAACCCATATTTTCATTAAAATTCCCTTTAAAAAACAGTTTGTAATTACTACAGACACTGAATTGGAGGCAAGCATATTACCAGGAGAATTATTAAAAGTAGCGCGTGAGTCGATGTGGAACGCCACCCATGACCAGCTGCTGACGTCACCCACCCCCACCAATCCCTCGCGGAAAAAGCCAAAGGAAGTCCCGAGAAATAGATGGTATAGATTTTTCATTGCGCTTTGAAGAGGAGCGGGACAACCACAATGCAATTGGAGAAATATTTTTATAAAAATATTTTCATCTAACTTATAAATGAAAACTAATGAAAAATGTTAGAAAATTTTGAGTTTTAATAATAAAGATAAAATAAAAGGTAAAATAAATAGTACCAAAATTGATTTTTAGATTAAAAAAAATGTGATTTTTCGTTAAAGTAAACTGTATCGTTGGTTTTTCGTTAAAACACCTAATTTATAATGATATGAGATGTTCCATTTCGTGTTCCAGATACATTGAAAAATCTTTTTACTACGTGGCACTAGCACCTCCTAATACCCACCAACTGAAACATAAGCTAATGAAAAAAACTAACAGATAGTCTAACTACTAACATCTCACGTCCTGTCTACGCCGTTAGAGATTCTTATCCTTCTTTTTGACCCACCAGCTTGTATTCCCTCCCTGTCATTTCGACTAAAATAATAAAATTCCCTGTGTCCCCCTCTTCAGTTAATGAAAGCAGGCCATGCGCCATCCGCAAAATAGCAAAGTTACTCTAAGGGGAAGAATATAGATAAAAGACGGTTAACAAAACACTCTGGTCCTGTTTGGCAAATCGGATAAAGGATCGGATAGGATTAGTTATACGGACCCGGATGTTTGGCGTTCACTCGTACTAAATAAGCATCGGATTAATTTAACCGGTCGGATAGGATAATACGGTATACACCCGCTTAATAAAACCAACCAAAACGTCTGGATTATTTAGTCGGGAAAGAAGAATATGGGAGAGAAAGGGAGGGAGTTTGAGGGGTGTGGCGGAGAGAGCTGGGGAACAATTATTTGGGATTCTTCTACCGTCGAGGAAGAAGAAGGGAGAGAGAGGGAGGGTGTTTGGGGGGTGCGGAGAGACCTGGGAACAAAAAAATGATTTCATTTTTTTAAAATTTTTTTTTTTAAAGTTTGATGCCTCCTATCTAGTATAATATCAAACACAGTATAAATAATACGGTCATTAGTCCGATACTGCACCAAACACCCGACTAATTTAGTCAGTACTATCCGGTGGCTATTTATCCTATCCGACAGAAATAGTCAGTACAGTCCGAGCTGCCAAACGAGGCCTCTTGGTACTGTTTACTTTTAACGAAAAATCGTATTTATATTTTTTTTTGGTACTATTCATTATACCTTTAAAAATGGCTTTTTATTAAAATGAAAGTTTTTTTGGACTTTTAATTAGTTTTCTTTATAGATTGGGAGGCTTAACAAAACACTCTTGGTATTGTTCACTTTTAACGAAAAACATTGAATTTATCAACCTAATTGGTTTGTGTTTTTTGCATCTTCTCTTTTCCTTTTTAATTTGTCATTTGGCTGCCACTTACTTGTGATTTGGCGTCCATCTTTTGTAAAAGCAGCTGCCTTGAAGTTTCTGATAAACTAGAGACAAGAACAGGTTGCAAAGTTGGAAGTTGTTTTGTAGTACATACGGATGGTACGTTGAAATTTTCTTAATTATTTCCACGGCCTAATTATGAGCTTGCTAAACCAGGAGAGAGGCAAGGATAAAGACTACAAATACATATTCTTATTTAGCATAAGAGCCGCCTTGTTGGGGGGGGGGTTTCTCAAAATGTAGGTTTTATACAACGTGATTGCTAAAATATTGTAAATAAGGTAAAAATGGTCATGTTTGAAGCATGAGATGCCTAATGCACCTTGGTGCGGGTCGATTAACCCACTAACGCTATCTGACACACCCCGACCGAGATCAGGGCATGCTGGCCGTCACGTGGAAGTGACGTAGCCATGTGCACAGTGCGAAAGCTAAAAACAGTAATATAAAAGTATGAATAATTTAAAACTAGCAAATATAATGTGATAAAGTATGTGCTAGCAAAGGTAAGACGCTGAATTCAGAGCTTTAAGCCTACAGCAGTCCAAAAGAAACAATACAACCATAGTGCACCCGAAGGTGACCCTACGTAGGTGAGTGTCTGTCAGAATGCCGGGACGTCCTCTGGGAAAACCACCAAACCCGCTAAGCTACTAGAACCTGGAGGGGCGCAAAACAAAAGCGTGAGTGGGCAAAAACAAATCTCTTTGAAAACCACTTCATAAAACATATTATAACCCCTCGCCGTAAAACCTGTATACTTTCCCAGAAATAAACATATATACGTATGTATAAATATGCCAGTCATGCTCAAAGGTATGCCATGTCAAAGCCTCATAATGATATGCAAGTGCTCAGGTATAAATCACATCAATAGCATAACATCTGGCAGCCGGAGTCCCCTAAGTGACCTGTACGGCTGAATCTAGAGCTCAAATCTCAATCTCAATCACTAAACCTGCCCACGAGTCGGAACCACCTAAAGTGGTCTGTACGACAAGCCTGGGTGTAATACATATAAACGCTCTAGTGCTACGATCACGTGAAGGCTGTGCGAATAATCGCGTGTCACCTACGAGTCGGAACCACCTATTGTGGTCTGTACGACAGGACTGTGCACCTAACTTGGATTCCAAGCTGAGCGTATGGTGCGGGAGGTGAACGACACGTGAAGGACTGTGCCCTACTCTGGGCGGGAGCACTAACACCTGGGTGCAGGTTATGAGCTCTCTAGGCACCTCTAATCACTATTTAATGAAATCGTTAAATAACGCTTACCTGACACTTATCTATGCCTCCACAGCACCAACATATATATTATATATGACATATGCATAAATGAATATGTAATTAAACATATATGCCACTAATCATGTATAACCATTACTCATATAAAAAGAATGGCATAAAACGAAGCATTTATACTAATTTCTGGGAATTTATATGTATATAGGTGTATACGGAAACAAAAGCCCACTCACTGGTATGTGGAAGGGTCGTAGCCCCCCTGCCTCGAATGTGCACGCCCGTCCTCGGGATACGTGTCACCTATATGCGAATTAACTATAAAAACGTTAACTTTAAAGCACATAACCTTCCGTTCAAAATAACTTCTCATACATTGCTCAAAATGGACAAATGAATATACCAACGTGATCTACACAACCTCACGATCACACCCATATTTTTAAAATAATTTTTGGACCATCCACGCGCCCTCACGCGCCAGCACAGACACGGACACACGCGCCCCCACGCGCGGCCACGTGCCATGCACACTGACGGCGTCAAGTGACGCCGTCAGGAATATTCCATTAACCCAACGGAATATTCCGTTAAACCCAATTGACGCCGTCAACGTCCGTTAGGAATATTCCGTTAAACCTTAACGGAATATTCTCCCTTCTTCTTCGACCAGACCCCCTCGCCGGCGCCGTCGCCGGAAAACCTGCAACTTAGGTTTTCTCGCTCGTTTTTCATCCGTTTTTCAAGATTTTTGCACCATTTTAACCCTTAGGACTAGTAGAACACGATCCTACAAGTTTTAAGGCCGAAAACTACGAGAAAATACCTGTCCAAAACTCCAAAACTCGGCCAACTTCGAACCAAGCTTTCCCGACGTCCAAAATTGTCCAACGAAGCACTCCCAAGCTCCTGGGAACCTCACAAACACAACTACAAGCTTCAAAAGTCCAAAATCAAGCTAAATTAAGTTTGCATGAATAGTAACCAAAACTGAGCTCGTGAAATCGACGTGAAAACGTCGGAGTTCCTACCTGAAAATGGTACCACTGGACTCCCCTCAGCCTCACGAGTTCGATGGTGAAGTTGGTTCCCTCGATCTGTCCAGGTTTGAAGTGTTGTGTGGGTGTCCGTACGCTTTTGTTTGAAGAAGAAGAAGAATAATGGACTCGGGGGGAGAGAGAGAGAGAAAGTGACAGAGGGTGAGGGATAGAGATAGGATGTGTGTGTGTGTGGTCCAACTTTGGCCAACACCACACAAAACAACCAAAACATAACAAGACAAACTAGGGGTAAAACGGTCAAATCACATGTACGTTTCGATATTTCCGGGACGGGATGTCACACTATCGTTTGTCAAAAAAAAAAAAAAATTTATGTGTGCAGGTGGAAGATATGTTTGAATGTGTGTTGGTTTTGAATTTGATGTATTTTGTGAGGTTCTGAATTTGATGTATTTTGTGAGGAATATTTGTATCATATCAGCCAAAATTCCATTTTATCAAACGAAATGAATTAGTAAGAACAAAGACTTGTTGCGAACCAAGTGAATTTGTCAATTTTCTTCTAAACTTGTAAAGAGTTGCTAATTTTTATCTAAATTTAACTTTAACTGATTATCTTTTAAATTTTTATAATTGCCAAATTTTCCCCCAACTTAGATTTTGGAATTTTCCTTTGAATTTTCTAACCATTTGGGCCATATGAGAAATGTTTAAGGGCAATAAATGAAATAATTTTATCCTTAGTGTAGACAAAACAAATTGCTTTTTAATTCTTTTTATTCTCTTCCACTATTTGATTTCGTACACTTATTTTTGAATTAGCCATGATAGCCAATTAGCAGCTACAAAGTATTGACTTTGCACACAGTTTACCAAAACAAAATTACCTTTTTTCCCTTCATGCATTTCCCATTCGATGTCCATGTGATTAAGATGAATGAAAAATTAGAAAACCTAACGTCAAGGAGAAAATATGCTATTTATAAAAGTTCATGAGAGTAATCGATTATTATTATTATTATTATTTTTTGCCAAGAGTAATCAATTAAATCTCATAAAACAAATTGACAATTTTATACAAATTTCAGAGCAATCGACAACCATGCTATTTAAAAAAAAAAAAAAAAAAAAAAAAAAAAAAAAAGGGATAAATTAACAGCGTCAAACTTAACGAATTTTTAATCTGTTAACTTCTGTTTAAGAAAACGTTATCTTTTGCTCTGCCACGTCTCATATTTCTGTTGGTAGTGCTAGTAATAAATATCAGCTGCCATAAGTGCCAAGTGGTGCTTCCGTATCTTGTTAATGTCCAGGGCCGTGGGTCCCACTCCCATCCCCCCATGGCTTGAAAGTCCTCGTTTCCCATCTTCGGTTCTTTGTCTTCAACACTTCTTTGTTCCGCACGACACCTTCCCGGACTCTACTTGTCCACTCTCTCTCTCTCTAGCTTTCTCTCTCTAACATTCGTTTATAAACTCTCCTGTCTCCTCTCTCCTCTCTCCTCCCCACCTCTGTCACACTCCCTCTCCCTCTTCCTTCTCCAACCTCTTTCCCCGGCGCACGTTAGCACACCACCATGCCTCCGCTCTTCTCCTGTGCCGCCAGGCACATGGCCCTCGCTCTCTTCTTCTTCCTCCTCCTTTCTCCGCAAATCTCGCTCGTCAGAGCTCAGCCCAGCCCGGACCGAGGAGCCGACCCTTACCGCTACCAGAGGTTCAGCCCGTCGATGGCCATCATCATCGTTGTACTAATCGCCGCCCTCTTCCTCATGGCCTTCTTCTCAATCTACATCCGCCACTGCTCCGAAGCCAACCAACCCGGCAGCGTCCGCCCCGGAGGGACCCACACCGGCCGATCCCGACGCGGCGCAGCCTCCCGCGGCCTCGACGCCGCCGTCCTCGACACCTTCCCCACCCTCGACTACGCCGAAATCAAAGGGCTTAAAATCGGGAAAGAGGCGCTCGAGTGCGCCGTCTGCTTAAACGAATTCGAGGACGACGAAACGCTGCGTTTGATCCCTAAATGTGACCACGTGTTTCACCCAGAGTGCATCGACGAGTGGCTGGCGTCGCACACCACTTGTCCCGTTTGCCGGGCCAACCTCGTTCCTCAGCCCGGCGACTCGGCACCACAATTCACTGAGTTGGGATCGGATCAGCAGCAGGCTGACGACGTCGAAGCTCAACACGCTGCCGTTGACACGGCGGCGGAGAGAGATGACCAGGTAATGCTAGAACAACCGCAACAAGAACCTGAGCTGGTGAACTTAAACCAGACGCTGAATCGGAACCGTACACGCGGATCGAGATCGAGCAGGTTGCGTAGATTGTTCCCGCGGTCGCACTCGACCGGACACTCTCTTGTCCAACCGGGAGAAGACACTGAGCGGTTCACCTTGAGACTACCGGTTGAAGTGAGAAAACAGATCATGAATCGGAAGCTGAACCGGTCCACTAGCTTGTTGGTCTTGCCCCGAGAAGGCAGTTCGAGGCGTGGTCCTCGAACCGGCGAGAGTGGCAGTACTAATAGAGTGAGGAGCTACAGAAGGCTCGAGCCGTTGGACCGGCAATTCAAATCGGACCGGTGGGTGTTCTCCAAAACGCCGTCGTTTCTCACGAGGATGTCGAGTCTCTTGTCGCCAAAGGTGGCGGTAAGTGACGGCGAGAAACCGACCGAGCCAGGGATGTCGAGGAGTAGCTCCGCTCGGCCTCCGGTTTAATTAGTTTTGGTTATATAACTTTTTTTACATTTTTACCTCCACGACTTAGGTCAATTTGTTCAACAAGTATAAATTTTTTTGTACATTATCTTTCAATTTTCTGAAATTTTAAATTTAAAAAGACTGGGTGTCATGTACGTAGATGACAATGTTGACACTCATATTATATAATCAATGGAATGAGATGTGGTTTTTCTGATTAACATGTCTTGTGTTTTATCTAGTGACTTTATGTATACTGCATTAAACTAACGGGTTTATAACTTACTTGGTAAATATTTTACCACATTCTGTACTTAGATCATGTGTTTGGGTATTTTTAGCCAAATGGTCACTGTGATTGTCATAACTTTTCACTTTGGTCTTCGAGATTTGAAATCGACAGAATTTGATCTTGATATTTGAAATCGATATAATTTGTTCCTGAGATTTGAAATTGATAGAATTGGTCATTCCTTGAAAAATCTCTATTAAACAATTGACCAAAATGATTTGATAAAAATTGGGGTATTTTTGCCATTTTTTTCTTCAATTCAATGAAGATTTTCACGGAACGACTAAAATAATTGATGGTGAACAAATTCAGGTACCATTTCTATCGATTTTAAATCTCAGAGACCAAAGTGAAAAATTATGTCAATTTCAAAAACAATTTTAGCTAAAAAAAAACCCTTTTACTTTTTTTTTGGTTAAAAAATATAAAAATATAAGAATTTGAAGAAAATATTAAATTGAAGAGGATTTTGGGAGGAAAAAATAAATAAATAAAGGACCAAAGTTAGTTAAATCTTCCATTCATATATTTGAATTGAATATGATGACCAAGAATGAATGGGAGGGAAAAATACAAAAAGAATTGTTCATTGGACCAAAAAAGAAAGAAATTATTTGTTCATCTAATGACTTGGTCATGGGTTTGACAAAAAAATGAAAGGGCTACATGTTTTTCGCTTGATTATCTTTAACGTTGCAATTTAATAATGTTTATCTTCATTTATAAATGATAAATTTTACTTTTAATTTACAAAAACGACGAATCCGATACGCATGATAAAATTTCATTGTTTGTGCTTTCGAACAGCATGCTAATTATTGCATGATGCCTTTCAAAAAGTAACATTTCATTATTTGGTGTTTGGAGTGTTCCCTTTATAATAATAGTGTGGAATTCTTGACCATTTTGCTTGGCATTCATCATCCATTTGGTGCGAATTGTTTGACAACTTGTGGAATCTAATTCCCTTATCTTGTGACTTAAGGCACCAACACCTACCACTTTCCCTTCTTTGAATATAAAACAGTTTTCTAAATTAATTTTTTTTTTTTTTTTTTTGGGTGTGAAAGCATGTGAAAATTGAAACCCAACTGCTGAATTAATTATATGGTTTGGAAATTACCAAACCCCCTTCTTTTGGAGCACATATTCAAATTCTTTGCCTTTTTTTTCTTTTACTCTCAATTGCCATCAAAATAGCATTCGAATTTGGAATCATTGGCCCTCCAGAAGCGTTCACATCTAATTAATTAAGATTAGTTATGTAATTAGCAAATTAATAGCTGGTACAACGGCCAAACTTGATAAAGCAGTTGGTGTGTGCCTCACAATATTCACGATCTTGGTATTAATCTCAAGGTTCCGAGGATCATGACTCTTCACTCTTTGGGCATGCTTCAACTCCAAGTTTTGCCAACCACTTCTCACAAGTTTTGCATGCTCAAAAAGTGTATGACTCACCCACATACACAAAACTCTGGTTTATCCTTGTATAATATAAAATATATGCGCCAATATTTTATACAACGCGTTAATACAATACGAATTTGCACGAAAAATTTATGGTTTTGGATTGAGGCTTATTGGTTGGGCTCGTTGAGATCATAATTCAGTTTGTGCAAATTTTTTTTTCTCATATTTTTCGAGAGGCCAATCAAGTTTTTGATTCCTTAACTAATTATGTGGTTGATCATGTTGGCTCTCATTGGTGGGATCATATTCCTGCAGTTTTATTATAGGAATTTTTCACAATTCCCTAGCTATTGTTTTTCATGACTTTGTTTCCATAGTTGCTTTTGTGGGGTTTGGTTTTTTAGTAATTTCATAGACTACCAAGGTAAAACTTATGTATGTTTACTTGACAGGAATGGAGAAAGTAAAAAGTTCGGGATTTTTTTTTTTAGCAAACGTTATTAGCTAAACTAAATGGGAGGGGGTAGACTTAGCCTCGCAATGGGCTAGCAATAATGTGGTTCAAATTCGCCTTTGGCAAGAATCGAATCTAAGACATCTCATTTAAAGTGAAGAGTCACCACTACAACAAACTATTGTATTCATATTCTTCATAATATATTTTTCTGTGCAAAATCTATTATAATTCGTATTTAAACACTTGTAATCAACAATTTAAAACCTAATTTAAAGATATTTGAACCTTTTTTCCTTTTGTTAATTTTTCTTTTATCTAAATCTGAACAACATATTAATAAAACCTTCTTTGTCAACCAAAAGAGGGTGAAAGACTATTTAACAAAACAAAATTTTGCTATTTTTTTGTTTAAGCCTCACCTACAAGCAATGGAGGATCCAGGAAAAATATTTCGGGGGGTCACATGTAAAAGTTTACAAACATTTTTTAGACATATAATAACCTTAAAAATCAAACTATAATTCCATCATTCATAACTTATAGAACAGATAACAATATAAGTTACAATAGTCCTTGACATGTTTTTATACTTTGAAAACGTTACATTATAGCTTCATTGTCAATGGAAGAAAAAACATTCCTCTCAATATAAACCACCATGCTAAGGATCCGAAACTATGTCGTTTTGACAAAGTAATATTTATTATAAAAAAAAATTAAGAAGAGCCACTCTTACAGTTGGAGGCATGTATGAAGTTAACTCCAGTCTTTAAAGGGGTGACACCCAAGTTATCCATGAACATTCAATGAAGTTCGAAGGGTCATCACTCAAATTATCCTTGGACATTCACTGAAGTTCAGGGGGTCAGCTGACCCCCCCTGCCCCTCAATGCATCCGCCTCTACCTACAAGTGATTTTAACTTCTCTCATTTAAAAAAATACACACACACACACACACACACATTTTAACATCTCTATAATTTTCACTTATTTTTTTTATTACTTTTGGGCTAAAATATTCTACTAAATTCTTAATAAATTGTAAATCCGCTTCCAAATACATTATAAAGATTTCCTTAATGCTCATGGAAAATATTTCGAGAAAATAAAAAATTTGCAATTTTTACAAAAAAAAAATTGTGGATTAACAATGGTTTTCAGTTGGTTTTACAAATTCGTACATAAATCACCTTTCAATATTTTTATTTTCACCTTCGCCTCACTGTGAAGTTTTGAAAATTAAGGCAAGACTTTCTGTTGATATTCTTGAGAGTAGATCACCATTTGATAGTGTTCTAAGCCTCACTACTAAAATTTTCACTTATTTTTTTAGTTTTCGGCTTAAATATTCCACTAAATATACATTTGTTGCTCAATAAACCGTAAAACTGCTTACAAATTCCTTAAAAAGTTTAACTTCACGCTCAGGAAAAATATTTTACGAAAATTGCATTTTTGTCAAAAACATGGGTGCTAGACGAGCTTGACGCATGCAAAACGAGACGAACTCACCTCATGAAGAACGAGACGAACCATGGCACGTAAAACAAGGCAAGCTCGGCTCACAGAAAACGGGACGGGCTTCTGACACATAAAATGAGTCGAGACAAGTTGCACAAAAATGAGGCGGGATTCAGTGCACAAAGCGAAGTGCGCATGAAAATCAAAGCTAATTCCGTGCACATCAAAACGACACAGGCTCTGTGGACGCAAAAATTGGCTGGCTTATGGAAGCACAACAATGCGGACACCTCATATGCAGAATGAGGCGAACCCAGGCACACAAGGTGAGGTGAACTTCCGGGTGATAAGAAGATGAGTCGGGCTCCACAAATGAAAAAATATATTTTGAAGAACATGAATACAATAGTTTGTTGTAGTAGTAAGTGAAATAAAAGAAAAATTAACAAAAATGTAAAAAAATGATTCAAATCGTACGTAAATCACCGTTCAATCTTTTTATTTCACCTTCGTCTTGAGGTGAAGTTTTGAAAATTAAGGCCAGACTTTCCGTTTAGAGTCTTGCTAAATTATTGCTTAATTTGCGAAATATCTGGTATGGATTCTATGATTTATGACGCTATGAGTTCATTGCACTGAACCTTGTTTTTCTGTATAGCTGAATCATGCGTTAACGACAGTTCTACATGTTAACAAGACTGATGTTGTCACTCTTGGTACTACATTCGGGGTATGCCTCCAGTATTGCACTGAGAATTCATTGGCAGAGAATGCGGTTTTTGCTTTTTAGCAATGTTGAAATATCATGCTCATGTCTTGCAGTCTCTTTCTCATACCATGGATGTTTAGATGGAAGATCAAGCTCGTTGCCCTGGAATTGGAGAGCGTAAGGTATCACGTGTGTTCAAAACAGTCTTATTTAAAAACCAATATTCGACAGGAAACATAGCAATCTTACTGTTCATTTTTTGCCTTGCTTATCAGGTGAAACGTTTGTATGATACATTTCATGAACCATTTAAGCGTGTGGTTGCCAGCCACCCTGCAGCTCCGGAAACCTCTCCCCCGAGCAATGCTGATCCTCGTTCGGTGAATGAAGATGAAGCAGCAGTGGAAACATAAGATGAGAGCAAACATGGGAAGAACGAACCAAAATTGAGTGTTTAAGTCAGCCTTGTCCGCCGCCTTTTCCAGATATGCTGATAAAGTTAATACAAGGAGCAGCTAGTCACAAGGAGAGAAAAAAGGAGAAACAAGTACTGCCATGGAAGCTGAAACTGAAAATAAATGAGCAGCTTCGCAGCTGGTAGTTCATCGAAAAAGTTTCATTGCCCTAAATCAATCTGCTATAAAACCATCTTAGGCGGATTTAAGGTTCTGGAAACGTATTCGGGTTATGGTTCTGTTTTAGAGCCATTCAAAGACCATGTTTAGGAAACAATTACAAATCAACACAAGAAACGTTCTTCTTGTACATTTGTCTTTGAAGTCAAGGGTTTGTTTGTTACCTTCTTAAACGATTGATAGCTTGTTTAGTATCCTTCTTGGATCAAATTTTTTTGTTTTTGTCATCTAAAGTAAGAATTTAGTAACTTTCATCATTTTTTTAAATTATAAAGTATTTTTAAATGGAAAGCCAAACAACTCCTAACTATTTATATTTGCATCAAGAAAACAATCTTAGTCATCGGTCAGTCGCAATTCGAAAACAATCCAATACTGAGATTGAACACCCCAAATCTCATCCACTCGTAAAAGAGAGGTTGAACATATACATCTCTGTCTAATAGCTGGAAAATGATTTCACCACATCGTTTTTTTCTTCACGTATATTGGTTTATTGTCTTTATAATAAAACAAATTAAAGTAGAAGTAAGGGACAAATAGCTCTATTTGTCACATGAAACTATTAGATATTTAATTTCAAATATAATTGGCCAACTATAATAATTTGGTATTGACATTAATGGATGGTGAATCTAATACTAAATTATTATGGCTGACCGAAATAATTCACCAATTTTACTTAGATTTTGGTTGAGGCAAATTTTATTATGTCCTTTGAACATGATGTGCTCTTTAGAGCTTTTGGCGAGTCCTAGGGTGTGACAACCCGTCCATAATTTTACAATTTTATAAATTTTAAAAGAGTGATTTAACAAAAATGCCCTTGTGGTGAGATTATTGACTTTTGTTGACCATCTTTTCATGACGTGTACGAGCTACTATTCTACTGTATTCCTGAAGTACTCGACCGTATGAACGCGTAGGCCCAAACGGAATTGAAATTGGAGCAACGATGAAGATTTTACGGAACTACGAATTCGAGAAATACTTTTGTGAAAAATTACTATTTTATATTTTATTTAATATATTATTATGTTAATATTTTAATATTTCTGATTGGATATTTTAAATATTTTAATAATTTATTTTGGCTCGTGGGGCCCACGCCTCACTTAACTCTCATTTCCTCTCTCGCCACCTGGCCTCTTTCCCTTATCTTAGGGAGACACTCTCTCTCTTCACTCTATCTCTCCCACATCTCTCTCACCTCTCTCTTCCTTCTTCCTTGGCAAGCACCGAAGGGTGCGACTGCCTTGAACCACCATTACTCATACCTCATCGGCGAGCCACATCACCATCACCCCAGCTCGTCCCATCTCTTTATTCCTGAGCCTATAACCCAAACTCGAACAACTCTCGGACCTCACATTGGAGAATAATCGGAAATGGAGAACTTCGGCAAGTTGTCGTCGTCCCCGACGAAGGTAAGCCTCGAAAACCCCTCAAGATCTTCGTAGATCGTGTTTAGGAGTACAATTATGATGTTTTTGAGATGTTTTAGTGTTGTTTGGACGTAGAAATACCCTGAGAGTAACAAACCCAATTTTTCGGCAGAGATCTGGCCACTTTCGAGCCGTTTTCTAGTCAATTCAGGCCATGGTCGAGGAAACCAAAGGTATATTCCGATTTTGTGTCCCCTGAGCTTCGATTTGATATATTGGAAAGATAGGTTTAGTGAAGATTTGGTGTGGTTGGAACTAGGATCTATCGCGACGGTTGCAACGTCAACTGGTCAGAGAAGAAGAAGAAAAAAAAAAAGGAAGCCTAGATCCGCAACCCAGATCCAGATCCGAACCCCGGATTCGGCCCGGGCGATCTCTGAATTGGGCTTGGAATATTCCTTGTAATGTTCTTTGAATATTCCTTGTGTTGACTTTTTCTAAATTTTCTTGATAACCCTTTTAGGCTAATTTCGATGTCCCTTTTTGACATTCATTTAGTGAAATTTCGAAGTTTTAACATAGTTGACCACTGGGCCGTTTGGTTGACTTTTTAGGGTTGACCGTCGATTTTTTATAAAATTTGCCTAGGGCCCTTCTTAACATATTTCGACGTCCTGATTTCAAATCCGCACTCAATTTTCCCAAATTCAAACATTTTAATCAAGTTTTAACGGGTCCCAATATTATACTTAGGTGTGATTACTATGGGAGACTTCGACTTTCCTAGTTCGAACGGCTGCGACATCACAAGTATCTGTGAGTGGGTCTTTTCTTTTATAGTATATATATATATATATATATATATATATATATATATATATATATATATAATTGTTAGTTTCCATTTATACATTTCATAAAGAGTTTTCTACAATACGCCTAGATTAACGTGATGTTTATAAGATTTAGCACATTGATAGAAATTACTGGTAGTTATGCTACGTCCTATGGGATGCACAAGTATGCGTATTATTATTGCTACCATAATTATATTTACGACTATGAATAATATTATGTTGACTAGAATTATCAAATCATTGTGGCATGACTATATTTATGTTATCTGCTCATCGTTTGTTGCACCGGTGTTGGTACTCGCCCAGGCTAGGGGTAGTCTTTCAGGTGTATGTGCACATCGCACCGTCCGCTCACTTTGGATCCATTGTAGATGCCAGTCCTGTCCTAGAGTACTATAGGTGATTAGGACTCGTATATGCTGCGCATAGCGCTAGTCTTCATGTGATTGTAGTACTAGAGCGTAAATCATTATTACACCAAGTCATGTCCATGTCAGAATACATGAACTTGTGTGTCTGCATGTGTGGATGAGCACTTGATACTGTATGTTTATTTATGAGAAAATATGTGTATATGAACGTCATGTGTTTATTTACGAAAGTTTGTGACGTGTTGCTTTTTTGAGATATTGCTAGCTCTGGTAAGTATTTTCATACTATATGTAGTATATATATTTTGGAAACTATACTTGTCTTACAGTAAGGGGTTATTATGTTTTCGAAAAAGTTTTTATAAAACTTTATTTTTAGGCCCATTCACCCTTGTTTTTCGCCCCTCCAAGTTATAGTAGCTGAGCTTTCGTATCGACAAGGATTATTGGCAAATCTTGGTATAGTTGGTTACCTTCGATGGTATAATTCTCATCCTACTTTACTGTACTTTACTTGTGCTCTGATATCATGTGTGAATTGGGTTCATTCCCGCTCACAAGTGCACTCTTACATTTAGGCACTTTTAGGTTTAAATTACTCACATTTCCACATCACTACATGTTATGGCTTCATCACCCTCTTGGTGTTAGGCCAGCACAACTCAATTCAGAGTCCAGGTGGACGTTTTGGGTCGAGGTATGTCATAGGAGATTAAAATCCTCTTCGGATTTGTGTATGGAGCTTGAAGATTGAGAGATTATGACCACTTAATTTCAATGCTACGACCTCATTAACCTATTCCACTGGCCCACTACACAAAAAACCCAAAAACTTGAACATCCCAAATTTTTGTCTCTCTCTCTTGAACGGCCTGAATCCTCTCAATCCGCGAACTCTAGACATAGAGACCTCGAGTGGACCTCATTGCAGTCCTAAGAAACCCACACTACCATTCAAATTAAAGCACGATGTGCAAATCTCACGCGAATCTCTACCCATAAAGGGATTATAAAAAATAAAAAAGGATCAGGATTAGGGTTAGGGTTAGGTGCCTCACTATATATAGATCATGTTTCTTCTCATTATCGTGAATCTCTACCCATAAACCATGGCAAATAATTCATGGTCCGATCTTCCGATTCCGATCTTAAACCTAATCACTGAACGTCTTCCGTACTATGATTTTGTTCGTTCTGCTGCGGTATGCACGACTTGGCAGCAAGCTTTTCATGATGGGGTTCAAGCTCGATGCAAAAACCCTAGTACATGGGTAATGAACCATGGCTGCTTCAATCATGACGGAGAAATCTTCAGCATACTGGAGCTCTCTGATCCTTCGACCAAACAAACTTACTGCATCGGAGATATCATAACACAAGAAGTTAGAGAATTATTCGTGGACGCGAAACCTTGTGCATCAAGATATGGTTGGCTGCTTCTCACAAAAAAGGTAAAAGTAGAAGATGGTAGTTCAACTAAGTTCTTTTTCTATAATCCTTTCAAGAATAAGGTTATTGAACTATCTTCTCCCTTGATTTTGACCAACAAAATCGCTCGACATAAAGCCACATTCACGGCTTCTCCAACTACTTCTCGTGGCGATTGTGCTGTTTTTGTTGTTTCTAAAATATATAATCATGTTTATGTCCTAAGTACATATAAACTCGCGGATAGAGCATGGAGAACTATATATATAACAGATCGTATTCTTCCAGCTGAATATGGTCTTGATGTGAAGGCAAAGGAGTTGGTCTACATGGACGGAATTTTATTTTGTACTTTTCATTCAAAGCCATCACATACCACTTTATTGGGTGCCTTTAATGTTGCACTTGAAGCTTGGGACATGATTGATTGCTCCGTTTTTGCAAACAAAATCAGGTGCGGTGGATGCAAAAACTGTTACGGTACGTCCCTATACGTTTACTACTTGGTTGAAGTTCCTTTTAGTAAGGTCTATTTGGTTGCTCAGCAAGATTACTATCATGAATGGCATGCTTTCGAATATGATGGATCAGATAATAAATGGTTTGAGGTTGAGAGCTTCATAAAAACATTCGAAAATCAAGCACTATTTATCAAAAGGTCATCATCAGTTGCAATTGAGAGGTTTTCGGACGAAATTAAAGGAGTGGTCGCTGGTAAATATTCCATAAATTGGCTAATTTGTGGTTTCAAAACAAATTGTAAACCAGCATGTGATATATTCAAAGAATTTGCTTGGCGTGGTGATTATCTTACACAAAGTTTGATTCAACTTGTTCCGGAGGTCAGCATTATTCATAAGCATGCCCATGATGATGATACTTAGATTCTCTCCCCCCCCCCCCTCTCCTTCCCAAACCGTCGGCATCCCTTTTGGTTCCAGTGGAGGAGAAGGACATGACAAGAAAAGAGATAGAGAGGGAGATGGAGAGCAAGATGAAGTTGAAAATGAAGCGGAAGAAAGATAGGAATGTCGACATTCGTTATGACTATGACATGCAAGATCGTAGGGACAGGAAGTGGAAAAGGTGGATGGAGATGCAGAGAGAGATAGAGTTGGAAAGGGAGATGGATAGGGAGATTGAACGGGAACGGGAGCGGGAGAGTGAGAGGGAGAGGCAGGTGGAAACAGAGAGGGGGAAGGAGAGGGGGAGGGAGAGGGAACACAAAAGAGAGAGGAGAAGAAAAAAAATAGAGAGGAAAAGAGAGAAGGATTTAAAGAGAGAGAGATGGAGAGAGAGAATAAAAGAATGGCTAGAAAAAGGAGGGAGAAGCAGGAGGCGCAGGTGGATATTCAGAGGGAGAACAAAAGAGAGAGGAGAAGAAAAAGGAGAGAGATGAAAAGAGAGAGGGACGTGGGATAAGATGTTGAGTGAGAGTGAGAGTGAGAAAGTGAGCGAGAGTGAGGTGGAGAGTGAATTAACTGATAATCGTATTCTTCTAGTGGTGAAGGAACAAGATCTTGTTCCTTCTTCCCCGCCTCATTCTCCTCAAACACCAACAAATGCGGTTCCAGTGGTGGAGGAGAGGAGGAGAGAGAAGGATAATAAAAGAGCGAAAAAGCAAAGAACGAAAGCGCGGAGGAACACGATGCAAAGAGGGACGGCTGGCGGAGATGGGTGGTGTCAGTCGGTCTGGAGGTTGTTGCGGCTGCTGGTTGTATTTTTTGTATTCTATTTTATATTTATTAGTTTATCTTGTCACGGTAAAGTTGGAATACTTAGGGAGAAAATTGAAGGGGGATGGGAACAAACAAGTTGGGGGGTTTTCAGCATATTTTGTTGAGAGAATCTGACATTGAAGGATGAAGTCTAGCATAAAAGTTTGAAATGCTTAACGAGTGGCAAAAAAGATGAGAAACAAGTGCTTTCATAGAAGCCCAGTTTTGCATTCAGAATTCATATTGGCAGAGATTGTGCTTTTTAGTAATGTTTATTTAAGTCTAGCATAAGAGCTTAAAAGATATTGGTCGCAATCGGCGAAAAAGAGGAGACACAAATGCTGTCATGGAAGCTGAAGAAGGGTGTTCAAGTAAGATGGAAGTGATCAACAAGTTTAGTTGCTCAATCCTTTTTTGTTATAGATCTATCTATCTACTTAGCTTATTTTGATGGTTTAGAAAATGTATTTTGGTTGCTACTTTTGCTTCTTTCTCTTTTAAAGACCAATTCTTGAACCTGATGTCGATCAATTATTAATTTAGAACCCAAAAAAATGTGTTAGAATGCTTGTAAACAGGAGGTAATCACAGCTAATAAATTAGGACTAATTAACCTGTTTTCTAAGTTAATTAAACTATACTAGCCGATCAAGAATGCATGTGTACCCTCATTGAAATTTTGCACTTGTTGCTCCTATGTTTGTAAGGTTGGTGCTTTCCCATATTATTTGAAATGTGATCCAAATGAAGCATTTTTACCTTCAGGAGTCAACCGTACTTAAACTCAATGAAAGATCGATCCACATTTTTGCTTCAATTTGCAGTTTTCACATGAACCCTAATCCATTTTTTTTTCTTTTTATCTGGAGGAAACCCTAATACCTTGGACTCGGTGTTTGTTTCAGAAACCTAGACGAACCAGAGGAAGCACCATAACAGGAGTTTCTAACCAGTGGAATTAGAGATGGTACGACATCCGTCATTAGAGGCCGATATTCAGCTTCTGGCTGCACACACATTGCTGCAATAGCTGCTATCTATAAAAACAACAATTATGACAAGAAAATTTGAGTTAGTTAAACCTTTTAGAATCAATAAGTTTCTGGTGATGATTATATAATTAATAGGAACCTAGCTAAGCTGACCTGAATTAGATCCCGCTGTGAGAATTGCCCCTGAAGAACTGGATCAACCATTTCCAATACTTTCTCTCTGCTAGTTAACCTTGGAAGAGCCTGATTAGTCACATTACAAAAAATTTATCTACCTTTAGTTTCCACTTTGCATACATGCAGACTCACTATTAACAGAAATTTGCAGTTGACATACCCACAAGACAAGGACATGCTCTCCAGGAGGCCGTTTTGTGTCTATTGGCACGCGCCCTGTTAAGAGTTCTAAAAGAAGCACGCCGTAGCTGAATACATCTGATCTTGTAGTGAGCTTTCCAGTTGAG